TTTATTTATTTATTTATTGTAGTTGGGACAGGGTGTACAGGGTCTCACTGTGTAGATTGGACTCGTAGTGATCCTCTTATTTACAGCATCCCAAGTGCTGGGATTAGAGGCACACACACCTCACCCAGACTTAGCACTATCTAATAAACAGAACTATTAGATATTGCTTGTACCCTAAGGGTGCTATGAAAACTTAATGAGATGTTAAGGTCACCATGAAAAAGGAAAGTTTAGAAATCTCTGACTTAATGATGTGACTGGCAGAATAAGGTTCCAGAAAAAGGCATCTTTCCATTATTTTTACAGAAAGAAGTTATTTTTCCATTATTTTTATTCCTTTACATTATACAGTTTCACAAAAACTAAGCTGAAGCTATATTATTCTGTGAAGATCTCCAGAATATAATCCTATTAATATTATGACTCATATTCCATACTATGAAAAAAAAAAGGGAATTCCTTCATTTACCCCTCAGAATAGCATAAGTAAAAGATACTGTTTATAAATACACAGTATCTGCAAGTTTGTCAACTTTGTAACCCATTTAAGTTAGTTGTTCTCCCTAAAGCCATTCATTTAACATGTATTCTTCAAATAAGTACAAAGCTGTACTAATCTTATACAGTTAAGTAACCAGGCCCAGGCAACACTACTGAGACACAGGCCTTCTCCTCAAGGATCCCAGTATCCAGACACAGAAACAGGAACACAGTTCCCTGCAATATGAAAACAAAACATCAAGAACACTATGGAAGTACTAATACTTGGTTCAGCCTGAAGGTTTAAAGAAAATTATTTATGAGTCCCATCACTGGCAATAATTACATAACATTCTGGAAATATGATTACTCTGAATAAAATATGTAAGCCAGGAACATAGAAACTTTGCTCAGAAATTATCATCCCAATAGAATTCTATCAGAATGGGGGCAGGCTCGGTCTGTAGGCATTAGTATTTGTTTGTTTGTTTGTTTCTTCTTTCTTTTTTTTTTTTTTGGTGGAACCAGGGACTGAACTCAGGCCCTTGCACTTGCCAGGAAAGGACTTATTCTACTGAGCCATCTCCTTGCCCTCCCCAACTCCCCCCTCCCCCCCTCCCCCCCACCGCCGCACTAGTATTTGTTGAAACTGCCCAAGAGATTATAGTACAGCCAGGGCTAAAAACCACTGGACACTGATTAAGTCATACCATCAGGGCAGACCTGATCTCAGAATCCTATCAACACGACTCTAAAGGAAGTTCTCAGTCAAAGCTAGTGAACATTTGGTGCCTGAAGAGAGCCATAGTTTGAAACCATTTTCATTTGCAACCTGTATCTTCCTACATTCTAATAAAATGAAAGGTAAGTGTTCCTGAATGGTATCTTATAACACTTCTGTCCAAGAAACCTAAGTGATAATTCTCAATATTGTGTATTGACTAAAATGCTTAATTTTAGAACTTTACTCTTTTAATCTGACAACTACAGACTGCTGAAATTACATACTTTTGGTACATGAAGATCAAGTCCTGCTAAAGTCATTTTCACTATTTATTTTTAAGAAAAATACACGTGCATACCTGTAATCCTGGCATTCAAGAGGCTGAGACAGGTGAATCAAGAGGCCAGCCTGGGCTACATATTAAGTTCAATGTCAGCCTGTACTACATAGCAAGACTGTCTCAAAAACCCAAATGCACAAACAAAAAAAAGAACAAAACCACATTAAAAAGTATTCACCTTGTAAGATCAACTGGACCAAATATGTAGGGCCCTTATGGAAGGCCTTGATTGATAGGCTGAGAATTTGAACTTAATCTTACTGAAAAAGCAGGTTACTTTGGTTTGATATAAAAAACTATTTTACAAGATTTTTCTGGTAGATTCATATTCATGATGCACTAAAATTCATGGGACTGGGCTGCTGAAAATAGAGAACATGCCAAATTCTTTCAAGCACAGTTCCTTGACTACAAATATTTAGAAACTTTGAAGGTTTTTAAAAAAATTGTACAGTAAAATATATACCTTAGTATCATTCAAACTAAATGCCAAATTAATACTTTAATCAAATGATTGATAAAAAGTATTATAAGCTCTCAAATGTTAATATTTTACTATTATAAAAGTTTGAGGGCCAGGGAGATGGCTCAGTGGAATAAGTGCTTCCCTGGCAAACATAAGGGCTTGAGTTCAATCCCCGGTTCCGCCAAAAATAAAAATAAAAATTTAAAAAAAAAAAGTTTGCCTAAAGATAACACTGTATTTTGCATGTTTTCACTATAAATGACAATGTTTGAGGAGATACATTTAACTTGAGTATTACACAATATATACACATGTATCAAAATATCAATCACGTGGTACTGCATCTATCTCTATCTATCTATCTATCCATATATATCTTTTATGTTCTTACGTATTTTTAAAACTAAATTTAAATTTTAAAATATATTTTAACTATTACTATAGAATTTATAGTAGGAAAGAACATATCCAAAAGATTCAATATCCATTTTATGATAGCTCTACAGAGGCAATATTTGAACTTTTTATCCTGAGAAAATTACATAGTCTAAATCAAATGAAGATAAAATTCATAGTTAAGATAAAAGCTAGGGCCGGAGAGACGGCTCAGTGGAATAAGCGCTTCTCCGGCAAGAGCAAGGGCCTGAGTTTAATCCCTGGTTCAGCAAAAAAAAAAAAAAAAAAAAAAAAAAAGATAAAAGCTAGGATGTGGCTCAGTGGCAGAGCACTTGCCTAGCACGCATGAGGCATTAGGTTCAATTTCTACCACAGCAAAAATAAAATCACTCACTCAATAGTTACAATGGATTAATAATGTTAAGATGACTAAATATTATTAACATGAATTAATATTGTTCCTCAAGTTGAATATTAACACCAAAAAGTATGTTTTATACTCCTTTTTAAAAATGTCATTTGGGGGCCAGGGAAATAGCTCAATAGAATAAGCATTTGCCTGGCAAGCGCAAGGCCCTGAGTTCAATCCTTGGTTCTGAAGAAAAAAAAAAAAAAAAAACCAACACGAAAGAGGTAAAAATGTCATTTGCCATAAAAGATGGCTGCTAGAAGTTTCAAAGGTATGATTATGTGGCCAATAATCCTAAAAATAATAGATAATACTTTGTAGCTAAACAATGATTTCCAAGTAACTAAGTATCCATATCAGAATTTAAGCATGATTAATGAATCTGGTAACGTCATCAAAAAACACAAGCAGCTGAATAATATGTCATATATGAGATGTTCCCAATTTATGTGTTTAAGAACTGGTAAGGATTAAAGTGCCTACAAGCAGGTGCAGGGCCTGGGGGTTCAATACCCTGGCCTGCCCTGCTGGCTCTGCCTCCGGAGCATGCTGACTCGGCAATTGAGACTGGCCAGGGTGATGCGCACCTGTAATCCCAGCTCTTGGGAGGCTGTAAACAGGAGGATCACTACAAGTCCGATCTAGTAGTGAGACCCTGAATACCCTGTAGACCCTTCCCTAAAATACAGAAAAAAACCCCAAAACTGGTAAGTAAAACAATTACACTGTAATATGAAGTATGGTATGCAGATTACTATAACATGGTATTTTCAGTTTATTTAAATATAAAGCACAATGGAACAGTTAAATCCATATTGACTGAGGTTAACCAAAACTACTTATACCTATTTCTTAGAATACATATAGCCCCTTGTCTCTCATTCAAACCATGTTACTATATGTACCAAAAATATAGATATATTTCTGGTACACTAATCTTTGCTTAAGTTTTTTTATTATTCTACTAACCTTTTCCCCATCAAAATAAAATTATATTTTAATAAGCTTAACACTTTGTCAATAATTTTCTATGCACAAAGATGAAGATCTTACATTCATCACTTATTAAGACTAGAGAAAATTTAATGTGAAAATATTTAAGGACTTATATTTGCAAGCATGCCTTTCAAACATTATTTTGAACTTAGATTAAGTATGAGCAGTAACTAAACTGAATAAAAAGCCCACCCATCTGTCACAAAATAATGCAAACCTTACTAACCTATTTTTCTTGTCGTGCAAAAAGGTTGTCCTTTTCTTTAAAGTAGACTATGAAAATAATTTTTAAATAATATGAAAAAAATCATGTATCTTAAGAAATTCTAGAAACTGTTGACAAGTCTGTTAATGAAATTATAAAGTCCCAGGCTGGGGAAGTAACTCAGTGTTTTAAGCATCTGCCTGGTATGTGAGAGATCCTGGATTTGCTCTTCAGCAATATACCACACACACACACACACACACACACACACACACACACACACACAAATAATAACAATGATAAACAGAAAATCAAGCTAGCAGGAAAGAAAATAAAAGGAAGGAAAAGAAAAAATAAAGGTTTAACATAAGACTCCAACAGTATTAGACACTGTTCAATTTCTGTTAATTATAGTAAAAATGTCAAGCCATTTTATGAGTTTATGTGTTATAACATAAATTGCAACAATGTTCAGAAAAAGATATTCTTTTAGAAGTGGCAAAAGAACCCAAGGAAACAAAATACTGTCACCAAAATCTGCACCTCTCCAAACACTTGCTAAGAAAGTTTATGGGGAAATAAAAGTCTGATAAAAGAAGATAAAAGCATAGTCTTCTAGAGGAAGTACAGTGAGAAGGCTGTCAGTTTTGAAAAAACAGAAACTGCGAATTTCAAATAAAAACACACCCTAAGCAGCTGGTTATAACAGATGACTTACATAGCACGGCCACGGCCCCAGACTCGAACATGAGGCATTCTTCCTTCTGCCTGGTTTCCACTATGAGGCTGAAAGGTGGGGGATCCAATTTGTGATAGACCCGAAATCCTTTGCTGAACGCCATTCTCCTTTTTCAGAGGCAGCTCTGTGACCAAGAAAAGCAAAGCAAAGAGAAAGAAACCGAGGTTTCCTTCTGCTGCAAGGACTGCAGCATGCACAAGTCCCTTCCTGCCAGGTTTTGACCGGGATGGGGGTGGGGGTATTAAAAAAAAGGGAAGCTCAGGGGATGATTATTCCACAAGATAAGTCGTCACCAAATTTTATCAAAATGCAAAAAGGAAAAGCTGCCAATTCTCGTAGCATGGAAAGGCAGGCTTTTAGCCACTGTTAGTCCAGGAAAGGTTTAGGACGACTTGCCCGTTTAATTTATGTTTACCAAAAGGAAAAATGTTGAGCGTATTTTGGTTCGGCGTGGTTTATCAGCTTCCTGCTTCAAGATTTGTTATTACGTGGGAAGGGAACCGATTGGGAAACTTCAAGGCTGTCCTTCGGAGGGAGCGGGTGGGAGGAAAGGTTAACAAGGCTGGTTCAAAGCTCCTTAGGGGGCCGGAGGGAGAGGATTATCCTACGCTGCAGGCTCTCCCCGGGCAACACGCTGGGCTGGGCAGGGCAGGGCAGGGCAGGCGGCACAGGGTAACGCCCGCTGAGGGGGGACAAGCGGAGCTGAATTACGAACGGCCACCTGGAAAAGTCACCAGTCGGGGCGCGGACCCGATCAGGGTTTCAGGGGTCCCAGGCAACCTGCTGCCTAAGGAAGCTATTTCTTCCCAGGGGATGGGCACCAGGCAACTCGACGCCTCCATTATGCGCCAGAAGCAATGCCCGGCGCTCAGCCTGACTCGGCTTCTTTCCCGCTGGGCGACTGACAGCCGCTGTCACCACAGCCCCCCAGCCCGACAGGGCGCCTCGCACGAGCTGCGGTCTCCTCACGCACTCGTCCGCCCGCCCTCTCGCGCCCGAATCCTCACAGCCGTCCCTCACCGCTCGCGCTGCAGAGGAGACTGCTCCAGGAAGCGTCCGCCCGGCCACCGGCCGCCGCTGCAGGTGGGTCTGGCTGCGGCCGCTCCTCGCCCCCGCCCCGCGGGCTTGCTCACCTCTTCCTCCGGCTCCTCCCCCTCCTCCTCCTCCCGCCGCCGCCACAACCCCCAGAAGCGTCACTTCCGCTCCAGCGGGCCCATCTCTTCCGCATTGCGCCGCGGCCGGGGGCGGAAGGGCCGCCCCTCGAGGGAGAAGGGGCGGGGCTCCACGAAGCCCCGCCCACACCCTGCTGCCGGCGAGCCGGAGTCCTCCGCGGCCCCGCGACCCCTGGAGCGACCTTCGCTCCACGCGCGTCCTCCGCCGCCTCCCGGGATGCTGAGGGCGGGTTCGGGCTGTTATTCCCTCGCTTGGGCTCTTGGGAGCACACCAGTACTCCTTGTAGTCGTCAGGAGGGACTCCAGGGAAGAACTGGGCTGGGGGGGCGGTGTTTGACTCGTGCCTTTGCCCGTCGTCAGTACCACCCAGTCACCTTCCCGGCCAAACTGGCGCAGCCGCATATCCCCTGAAGAGCGACAGTCATGTGCCTTTCTGGCCCACCGGGCTGCGCCGGGAGAGCTGTCCATGGTGTCTAACAAGAATTGTTTATTCCAAGCACGCGGGTAGATATCCAGGAAGAAAATTTAGGGCCTGTTTCGAAACCATTCCATTCTTGGGGCCAGTGAGGTGGCTCAGTAGACTAAGTGCTAGCCTGGTAAACGCAAGAGCCTGAGTTCAATCCCCGGTTCCTCCAAAAAAGGAAAAAAAAAAAAAAAAAAAAGTCCTTCTGTTTTTTACATTCTTAGTGTTCTGGAGCTCCCAACAGTATTTGAGAAAATAATGCTTATCATGTAGGATAGAGTTGAAAGTGAACAACCAGGTGTTCAAGGCTGAATCAAACAAAACATGGCTGTCACGAAATCAGGTATAGTTTTCCACTAACAGTGGAATCTACTAAGCACACACATCAAACCCTCTCATCTCGTCCTGACTGTCCAACAGATGTCCTGTTTGTCCCACATACCTGTAGTTCTGCCTCCACTGAACAGAACCAACACAATGAAGTTGAAGCTAACAGGGTGGAAAGGATTTGAAAACATCTCCGCACTGAGAAACTTCTTCCCACTTGCCTTTGCTTTTTCTTTACCTCTTCCTCTTCTTATTTTGCCAGAAAATGCAAATTTCAATTTGGTGTGTGCTGCACAAAATTATTTCCCCTTCAGGCCATCATGCGACTTAACATTTCTCAGCCCATTTTATTTTTTTTTTAAATTTTATTTATTTATTTAATTGTGTGTGTGTGTGTGTGTGTGTGTGGCCAGCTCAGCCCACCAGGGGGTGGGGCTGGCTGGCATGTGGTGCTGGGGGATTGAACCGCAGTCCCTGTGTTTTGCTAAACTTGTTCTAAGTAGGTGCTTTAGACCACTGAGCCATCTCTCCAGCCCTCTCAGCCCATTTTAGAGAAGCTGGAGAACCCTCCCTGGTTTCAGGACTCAGATACATTAGAAAATAATCCACATCCACCCAGACCAAGAACACATTCAAAGGCACTTGGCTTTAGTTCTTACAATTAGAAATTTCTCATTTAGTGCTCTTTAAAAAAGTGTATTCTCTGTTGTGGTTACTCACAACTGCTTCAAAATTAATATTAAAATTAGTCTGTGATTATCAATTTTTTTCTTCCAAGAAAAGCCTATTTGAATTGAGAACTATGCGACAGAGAAATAGAATTTCTGAGAATGGAATTTTTATTTGCTTCTTGTAAAAGTATGCTTTTATACCCTTGATATACACCAGGAAAAATTTAAAAAAAGTTTCAGGAGACATATTATTGGATCGCACTTCATAGAAGCTACCTTTTTATGACAACTGCAATCATCAGGTTGGAGTCTGAAACCAAACCTGCTTACCCAAACCCAAGATTCTACACTTATGTTTCTCTAAAACTACCCCCAAACTAATCCTTCTTGAAGGTGGGAACCACCAGGCTCTCTGGGAAGAAAGTATTCTTCCTATTCCTGGTCCTGGCTCATTTGGACTTTTGGACTCAGGCTGAGGTCAAGACTACTGGGTTGGGGCTTTCTTCAAATTAAATCCAGTCAGAAGGATAGAGGTTCTTCCAAACCTTTTGAAATTTTAGTCATGAATTAGCTTGAAACACAAAAGGTAACTTTAATAATAGATTTTTACATTCTTTTCTTGCCCTTCTTTCCTGTTTATACTTTTACTACAATGTCTCAAAATAGCTACACAAATTAACATCAAACACTTATATGTCTTCAGAGCAGGCTGACTTAAAATACCTGTTAAGAAGCACCTGCTAACTTCCTAGTAGACTCTAAGGGTATGTAGAGGGTATATTTCAGAGAATAACATGGTATGTTCTTGACCCTTAAAGCTGAAGCCTGAGACAGACTCAAAAATACCCCTCCATAAAATATCCACATCCTAATCCCCTCACACCTGTATATGGTAATGTAGGTAGAAATAGTTTTTTAAGGACCTTTAAGGATCTTTAAGATATTTCTGGATTATCCAGGTAGGTCCTAAATGCAATCACAAGTATCTTAAACAGAAAGCTGGATATGGTGACACATACTTGTAATCCTAGCACTCAGGAGGCTGAGACAGGAGGATCAGTGCAAGTTCAAGGTGAGCCTGTGCTACATACAAAGTGAGTTCAAAGCCAGCCTGAACTACACAGTAAGACCATGTTGAAAGAAAACAGTGGAAGGGACAGAGGGAGGGAGGTGGGGGGGGGGACATAAGACACACTCTTAAAAGTACACAGAACTGGAGCAATGTAATCACACACCAAGTATCAGTAGCCACAAAAAGTTGGAAAAGGTGTAGATTTGAACCTAGAGCCTTTACATGGTTCTTCTGACATTTGTAACTTCAGATCATGAGTAAATGTGTTGTTTTAAGTCACCCACCTAATTTGTGGTTTAATTTGTTATAATAAATGAGAATTCATTCCCTTCAAATCAAATAAATACTTTCTGGTTGAGACATAAAGACCACTTATGTCATATGCAGTTCTGTGCTAAATTCATCTTGCATGGAAGTCTTTGTGCAGTGTTCAAACCCATTTCTAAAGTCTAAGTAGTCTAAAAGATTTCACAAAACAAAATCTGAGTTTAAGAGTTCTGAAAAAGATACAGAGATAATAATCATCTAATGGGTTTGAGAACACATAATTGAAGACTCAAATACATAGGGATGTTTACTGAAGTTGAGAATTAATGTCCTGACTAATTCTATGTAGTGAATCACTAAGATTTAACAAAAAATTTATCCATAATGACTATGCAGGAATAAGCAATGTTCCTGTAATAAAGATAAAACTGAGAGTCAGTGGAGCCCGTAACATTGTTCTATATATAATTTGTCTTAATGAAGGGTACATATGGATCTGTTAATAGTATCACTATAAGTCATTTGCAATGCAAAACACAACAAAGGATATATTTAAAATTAATTTAATGCTTGGCTAAAGCTTAATTACATATATAATTATCAAACAATAGTCCTTAATTTCCAAAAAGTTCCTCTTTTGAAAATCACAGAATCAGAAAGCATAAACTTTAAAACAAGTTCTCTGAATATTTACAATGTGGTACAAACATTATAGAAGACCATGGATATTAAATTGCCTGGGTGTGGCTAATCAGCAAGGCGTATTCTTTATTGCATATATAACTCACATATGTGGGATTTTAAAATATATACTAAAATTCAAATGCATGTATCTGTAAGCTGGGCAGGTAATACAGTCATGAATGAGACAGGTCAGCTAAACCATGCATTTAAATTGTGGACTTATTATTTTCAAAAATTAAATTTCTATGTTCGGTCTGAGAGTATATTGCATATAGTATAGATTTCCATTAAACCCAAAGTTGCCTGTAATGCTGATTCAAGGAATTAAGTTCAACATTCATTCAATGACTAAGTCCATACATAACTCAGCTCTCAATTTTAAGGCAGCACAGCTACAGTGATAGCAACGCTAACCAAAAACAGATGAACGATTAGTCACTTGCCAGCCCTTTTGTTACAACAGGACAGTAATTTCCCTAAGAAAATTTGCTACTGGGTAATTTTCTGTTGTTAAAAGGCTTCCTCTGTAGAAAAAAACACCACAAATCTCCAGTGTGAAAATCCATGGTGGTATAAATATATATATGCATAATTACACAATTTACACTGCACACAGCGTTTAGAGGACAGTTAACTAAGTTAATCTGAATGATCATACAAAATGCTTCTGTAAACAAAGTATGACAGGCAGTAAGGAAAACATTCATAGACTTCTAGAAATAATCTCAATTCCTTTCATTCTGAAGAAACTGCATTTAAGGACACAGTTGAATATGGGTGGGGCTTTTTTGTATTAAAACAGGAATCAGTATTTTACAGTTTAAGAAACTTTACATATATACAATTTTATACACTGGGAATGGTATTAAAGCAAATAGGCTTTCAGTCTCATGTATCTATTTTCCTTCAATCAAAGACTTAAATTCTTTCACATTGTGATCACTTGCAACAGACATAGCATGATCCAAAGCTCGAACACTTGCAAGAAGTTTCACTATCTGTTTTATGTTTTCCCTAAAAGGAAAAGAGAATGTACCATCATTTCATTAGTACCTTTAAGGGAAATTTCTATTTTTATTTTTACAGATTCTGCAATAAATTTTCCCATTTTCCAAAGCTTACACTTTTAAATATGGAAAATATAGATATGCAAGTTACAACAAAGTAAATGTTTTGGTTACTTATCCAAACAAAATACAATCTGTGCATATTTAAATGATAGCCCAGAGACAGAGGAATCCTCTCCCTTTGAGGTATTAGGTATCAAACCTAGGGCCACTCTAGATGTAACTATAGTCCTTTTTATTATTATTTTGAAAGAAATCTTGCTAGATTGTTCAGGCTGGCCTCAAATTTGTAATTCCCCTACTTCAGCCTCCTGAGGAGCTAGTGTTTCAGGGATGCACCACCAGCCCTGGCTAAGGGGAACCAGGCAACATCTAGAAAG